AGCCTCTCCCATGAGTTTTCCAGCTCCCAGCCCCACTCTGAACTCCTCACTGACCTATGCAGTGTGTGGGAGAGGCACAAACGAAAATCCCAATACAGGACAGACAGCTCAGGGGTTTGGCAGATGCATCAGGTCAGGGCACTGCATAAGCCAGCAAGAAATGTTGAAGATAGGGATGCTTCAGATTCCAGCTGCCTCTTGGGCACTGGGAGTGGGGCAGGGCTCTCCAAAAACACATTCCTCCACTGGGAAGCAGCAGCCCTGAGCCTTCTCTGTCGTCAGGTAACTAAGCCTTTTCTTTGCAAAGCAAGGGCTGCTCTATTCTTTCCAAACAATGTTATCATTTGGCAGCTTCGCTCCTGCTTATCTGTCAGCCTGAGCATTACCCAGAATGTGGAAGAACTGGGCTCCATGGCCGACCCTCTGCCTGGGGGCTCAGTGGTGGGGAGAAACACTCCCCCTGGCCCCCTCTCCCTGGGGCTTCCAAAGTGTTTGGGCATGACAGAGAAACCACAGTTCTGGGGCTGAGGATTTCCTCACAAGGTAGACCCTGTATTTTCCCTGCACCCCAAAACTCACTGGTGCTCATCCCACAGCCTCTGCAGGGCTAAGCACCCACAGAGCAAGGTTAACAGGAACCACATGATTTATACCCAGCTGTTCACCTTGCAAACATCTGGGTTCAATCCCTCTGGCATTGAATCCACTGCCAGCTGGCCTGATCCACAAGCAAAACGCAAATATTTGCTTGTTAACCAGACAAACATCCCACTGAACTCGAGGAACACCCCAAAAGGTAGGAGAAACAAACAGGATCTTATCTCCTCACACCACAACTCTGGCTCCACTTCAACTGGTGTCCTTCTGGCAGAAGGACATGAAACCAAAACCTCTGCCAGGAAGGGCAGGTCATCCCTCCATTGGGTTCGGCTGAGCCACCCAGGAGCAGCAGAAATTGAACCCTAACAAGCCATCCCCCAGCAGCCCCTCTTCCATAGAGCCTGTCCCCCAAGGGAAGTTGGGATTTCTGTGCAGGCATTACTTCATCTGCACCCTCATGTACTGGGAACAAAGGGCAGCAGGACAGGAAGGCTCTGCTCACCCCTGATAGAGGCAGGAGAGTAGAGGCACCCATCCTGTCCCAGCATGAGGCAACCAGAGGCACCCACAGAGCAAGAGCTGCAGATGTGCAGTCACTGCTGAAAGCCACAGCCCTCAGCACAGTGAAGTTAATGTGACCTGACACCTCCTGCAGCAGCTACTCCAGCTTTGTCTGCTGCACTGGGCAAGGCAGATGCCCCAACGCTCCACCAGGTCCTGCAGCCTCAGCTCTCCAGGTTGCCATCTGTGCTGTATGTCCATCCTCCTCTGCAGCACTGGGCACTGCTGTACAGCCACCCAGTTTGTCACCAGTCCCTAAAACCCTGACAAAGGCCAGCTCCCACCACCACTAGGTCTTTGCACCAGCAGGACAGGTATGCACACCCCTCAGCAGACCCTGCTAGGACAGCCAGCAGTAGGAGACAACTCTTTAAACAACCACAGAAAGACAAGCAAGTTCGTCACAAACCCCCAGCTCCACTTGCTTTGGAGAGCAGTGGTTTTGCTTTGGAGGCAAAGGAGTCCTGGTTTCCATCAGCACTCCAGCAGAGACCTCAGCTTCGCAAGAATCTCTCTAACACACCAACCACTGCAAAAAATATACAACACAACCAACGGGGACAGAAGCTTGAAGAGACACTGTAAAATTGATTAGTCATCAAAATCATCAGACCATAAAACAAGCTTCAGCTGTGCTCCTCTTTTTTGCATAGATAAATGCAAAAGGCAAGGCTCTTTTTAAAATGAATTCCTTTTTTTTTTTGTTTACTAGAGCCTAAGTTACTCTGGTTGACAATTAAGCCCATTATCCAATTCCTTTCTTTTCCACCACCCCAGTGTCTTTTTTCATAGCCTTTGAAGAAGGAAAAAAAAAGTGAATTCCAATAAGTGCTATTTTAAAATGAAAAACGCAAGTTTACAAAGAGCTCAGGAAGGTGTTTGAATCATTCAACTGTCTGTTTTAAGACCCCAGCACAGGACTCAACACAATTCCTTTCGCATTAAGAACAATTTCAAGTCACATCATTGTGTACAAGCTCCAAGTTAAGCACTGGACCAAACATTCTGGCAGACTCTTGGCATAAGTGTTGGAGGGCAAGAGAAAACAAAGATTTAAATTTTGGCTAGTGTACTTCTGCAGAATCACTGTCAGCACATATTTTTCAGTTCATACAAAATCTAGCAGAGGAAAATTAAAACCATAACTAACTTGGAGGTGAGCGGTTCAGATAAACTGCAGAAGAAAAACCCTAATACAATGTAACTCATGGAACTGTTCAACACTAATCATTAACCTGAGTGCTTATGATATCCCATTGCAAACTGGATCCTTTCAGTTTGGTTTTCAAACTGACCCACAGGTTTTGCGGATGCTTTCACAAAACCAGCAAGAACAACCCATTTTAATAGTTAAAATATCCTCTCACGTAGATCCCTGCCTTACCAGAGGCTATTTGCTGTAGATGCTCTATACAACCGTACCCCAACCCTGGGCACCACAGGGAGCCCTCTGCAAACATGTTTTCGTGCCGGGGTACCATGGATTCCAAGGGCAAAACCTCACCAAAGCCACAACCAACATCATGATCCAAGACCTCAAGACCATGTCCCAGTTCTACCTTGGTGTTCATCACCCTAGGAAACAGGAATTCATAACCCCACCACAGAAATGCTCCCTTCCTCTAGTCTCCATGTTGGAAAAAAAAATAAAAATTCAAGCAGGTAAACACAGATCCTCCAAAGAAGGAGCAGGAAGTTGTCCTCCCAGCCAAAGCCAGGCCAAGTTGCAGTTACATCAGGTTGGGTTTAATTCATCTAGTCAAGCTCTGGCCATCTCCAGCCTCTCTGTGCCCCTGTTCCTGCACCCCACTATCCTCACTGTGACCAGTTCTTCTTTTAACACCTCATTGAGAAAGCTCTCACTAATATCTCAGCTGCAGAAGCACAACGAGCCCTTCTCATTCCCACTGCAACCATTTCTGCCTGGGTGCTAATTTGTAAACTATGCAAATAAAAGAAAAAGTTGGGGCTGGAATTTGTTTTATTGTCATTGTTCTGCCCTTTGGGTGGGATGGGCAATGCCAGTGTGGCTCATCACTGCTGCACGGCTTCATGGCACACAGACAGGCATCACTGAGGGTGCTGGTCCCAGCATGCAGAACCCTTCTCCTCCCCAGCCCCCAAAGGCTCTCTGGTCTTTATCCAATTATTACTCCAGCCAACTTGCTTAACACCACTATCATCAAGAACCTTTAACAAGCACCAACAATTCCATAGATCTGCTTTTTATGGCATGGCAGAAGCCTAATTACATGATTAAATTCTGTCAAAAATTACAGCCCACACACACACTTGCAATTAGCCCTTTCAGGTACCAAATAAAAGCAATGCTAACATTTCAAAGACATGTTGGCAGCACAGTTGAGCAGGATTACATTACTGACCCTAAACAAATTGAGGGCATTACTCTTCCTTTGAGTCCTTTTCCTTTATTTTCTGTATCTGTTAGTGTTATAAATACAGGCACTGCGACCACTTTGACCACACAAATCCTCAGCATTAATGAGCAAAGCAGCTCAAACACCTATTAACTCCATATTACATGTTCTTATTCTACTGGAGTCTCCTGCTACTTTCTCCAGCACAGTACCTTGCTGAACCTCACTACAGAGGTGCAGAGATGTTTTGCTATGAACCCTTTTATTTCTGTGACGCCACCTTTAATGAAGATTGAGCTTTTTAAATACAAGTCACAGATCACTTAATTTTTACAAAAACAAGCCCTGTAAATGAAACAAACCCTATGTGTAATATGGGACAAAGACCTGGACAAGATACGCACTATAATGGAAAACGAAATCTAAAGCAAGCAATTCTAAGCTATTTGGGGATTTTCCTACCAGGAGGACCAACATTTTAGCAAGGTTACATTTAGCAAAATGTAACACTGCACGTTAAAAGTGAGGGAAAGTTTGTGGCTAGGGTACCACCTAGGAGTCCTCTTAAAGTGCCCCGAAGACGTCCGTCACACCTGGGGATCCGCAATGATACAGCAAAAACACAGTCACATGAAAAAACAACACAGTAGATACCCAAGAAGAGAGCAGGTACTCCGAGAAGATGGAACTAAGATGGGATACTGGCATCACCTTGCTCTCCCAGCTCACCATTACCACCAAAAGCAAACCTCAAACCCCGAGTGACTGCCCAGGCATCCCCTTGCTCTGGTTCTCAACATGGGTGTGTGCCTACAAAAAGGGAAACGGCACCTCACAGGTTCTAAAGGGACTTTTTTTTTTTTTTTTAATTATCACATAAGGTATCTTTTATAGCTTAACCAGAAAATATCATAGTGAGATACTGTATTTTTAATTATATTCATACATGTAACAAATGGATGGACGCATATTACTGTCACTGAGGTGGCAACAGTCCTTTACATATCTGATCTGTGCCTCTTCCAAAACACCTACATTAAGGAATGTTCTTGAACAATATGCGAAAATGGGCACAGTAGCTAAAATGTGCTCCTCCCTGCATTTGGGCTAAAAGGCCTTTCATCTCCCTCTCCTCCTGCTGTCAGAGCTAATACCAAGTTCAAGGAGCAAAGAAATACCAGTCTCAAGACATAAGGGCTGGGGTGGACCCAGCCTGCAGTGAATAACCTGCATTCTCCATCATCATTGTCCCCGAGCACCCACGCCCGAGTCCTTGGGCTGGCTGTGGGACCCAGCAGTGCTGTGCTCAGGGGGTGGACAGAGGGTGCCTTGGATGACTAGGCACCTTGTGGGGGTAGTGAAAAAAAAAACAAACAAAAAACAAACCAAGAAAAAACCCCCAGCCAAACCAAAACCAGAGGTGGCTTTGTGCCTAGTGTGGCTAAAGAGCTGCATACTGGTGACTTTTGAGCTTGCTCAGTGCTGCTGACAGGAGGAAAAGGCACCAGCAGCAGGGAGCAGCCATGTTCCCCAGCAGGCTGGGAGAAGGAAGGCTCCCTCGGGGAATTTGTACTCACCTGGCGGTTTCATGTAATATTGCTCAATATCAGACATGTCCGTGTGCAGCGCACAATCGAGATAGTGCAGGATAACTTTTCTACTGAAGTAGTACCTCATGCCCATCAGAAAGATGGGCAAACAGCAGGTCAGCAGGAAGGACTTGGTCACAACAAAGCACATTACTATGGAGATAAGGAAGAGAAATAAACGACACCTGTCAGAAAAGAGAATTTAGTGTTGATTTCGGAATACAAACTCATTATAAAAATAAATAAATAAAACAATCACAATCAAAATATACATTTGCAGTACACACACAATTCACGCTCTCGAGATTATCACGTTAAGGGACAGTGTATCGCGACGAGATAACCCGGAGAAGTTTATGGGGTCCTGGAAGGAGCCGGTGGGGAGGATGCCGCCACGCCACGGCAGGTCCCAGAGCCCCCCTGGAGCGGGGCCGTGGGGACCCCCAGGGCCCAGCACACCGCAGGCCCCCTTCACTCTCCCCGGCGAGGCCGGAACGCGGCCGGGCGGAGGAGCCGCGCTGCGGGCACCGCTCCGCAGCCATGTGTTCGCCACTGCGGCAGTGCTATTTCCATCAGCACCTACTCCCAGGGCAGCCACCCCGCCCGCCCCCATCCCGCCGGGCTGCCGAACACCTGGGGGGCTTCTGCGAGTGCCCCCCAGCCGGCGGCTCCCCCCGGCATGGCCTCAGAGCTGCCGGCTGCGCCCCAACGCCTGCTGGGGGTCCCCCTCCAGCGCGAGGCCCCGTCCTCCCCGATGTCTGAGACACGGGGTGCGACCGTCCTGCAGCCACCGAGGGCAGGAGACCACCCCAAAGCGCGCCCGGTGCGGGGGGCACACATTATTAATCATTATTGGCACAGGGACGGGACACTTTGCGAGCGCAATTTTGGGCACTGAACTCTAGGAGGTGAGGTGACCCCCCCCTCCTCGCCTCGGCCCTGCTGTAGGGGACACCCCCTCCTCACGCCGGGGGAGGGCTAAGGGGGGCTTTCACTGATGGGCCCGGCCGTCTCCAGGCAACGCCGGAACGCGGCTCGTCCCCCCCCTCTCCGGGCTGCGCGGGGGCGGCCAGTGCGCGGTGCGGGGCGCGCTCCCTCCCCTCCGCGCACCCCCCAGCCCCGCAATAACCACAAGGACGGAATCTACCCTCACCCCCGCGGCGGCCTCCCCTTCAGCACTCCCCACCCTTACAACCCGTGGTAGGGTCGCGCATCCCCCGGCGGCGCAAGGCTCCCATCCCGCTCCCATCCCGCCTGTCCCCGCCGCAGCGCTGCGGCTCCGCGGCCGCCCCGCACGATGCTGCGGCGCTCCCGCTCCCCGAACCGCCGCAGCGCGCCCGAACACCGGTCCCCGGCGCCTCCCGCCGCTCCGACCATTTTGTTTAGACCCACAGCCGGGGAATAAACCCGGCGACCCCCTCCCCCAAAAGGGAGCGGATACTCACCCGCCAGCAGCCCGTAGAGCAGCTGAGTGAGGGGCTGCTGCTTCAGCCCCCTGAACGCCGTGTTGGGGATCCGCTCCATGATCCCCTCGTAAAAGATGCGGCACACCACCTCCTGCTCGGAGGGGTGGAATTCGCGGATATAGACATTGTCGCGCCGGGGGTCTTCTTTTGGTGGGGTGAGGGGAGGTGGGGGGGAGGGAGTGGAGCCGGCCAAAGAGGGCCACATCTGGGAGGAGGAAACAATGATCGTGTCTTTTTTGGATCCCGGGACTGATTCATGATCTTCCGCCACAATCTTGGTCTCACAAACCATCTTGGGAGACAGACAATGCATGCAAACCGGCCGCGGGGAAGGGGCGAGGAGAAAAACGGGAGGGGGAGGTCAGAAAATTAAAAGAAAAAAATAATTAAAAAAAAAAAAAAAAAAAAAAAAAAAAGGAAAAAGGGGAGGGGGAAGGAGCGGGGCGCGGAGCCGGGACGGAGACCCGCGGGCAGTAGGGCGCTGAGCTGCGCGGCCGGGCAGGACGGGAGGAAGGAGCCCCGCTGCATTTTGGAGAGGCATATATAGGGCGGGGGGGGCTTCGGGTCCCCGGGGTCCTAGAGCCCCCCGCATTGGCTGCGCGGGGTCGCCATGTGATCGGGGGGGCGGGACACCTCCCCCTTTCCCCCCCCCATCCCTGCACCGCCCCTTGCAAATTACTACGGCGCGAGGCTGCGCGGGCATTCGGGGGTCGAACATCGCTGCCCGCACTCACTGGTGCGCGGGGAGGGGAGGGGGAAGGGGACGTCATTTCTTTATTTTTTATGTAGTTATCTATGTATATACTGCGAACGCACCGTGCGCCCGGCGGCTTTCTGGAACAGTCGCTGCGGGTGCGCGGCGCTGCGCGGGGCGCTGCGGGAGCTTGCGGGGCGGGAGGCTGGGCCGGCCCCGCACCGCGTCCCGCAGGGCTGCGGCACCGAGAGTCGCTCCCCGCGACCCAGCGAGTCCCTGCGCGGAGCTCCGCGGGGCGCGGAGGGTGCTCCCGCCCCAGCTCCAGCCATCCCGCGTGGAACGCTCCGCGGGGGCAGAGAGGAGCGGGGGATGCAGCCGCGAGGCCCCCGGCGCCTCCCGAGCAAATCCCCCTCCCCATCCCTCGGTCAGTAACTTTTCCAGCAGTGCCCACGCCGCTGCGGGATGCGGGAAACGCAGCCGGCCCCGCCGCCTCCGCCGCCTCCGCGCCCTTCCGCGGGGCGGAGAGAAGGGATGGAGGGGGAGGGGGGATGCGCAGGGAGGAGGACGGGCTCCTCCTCTTCGCAGGACCCGAAAAGCTTCGGCCTCTCCCGGTTGGAACCGGCCGGCATCTGCCCGAGGCATGCGCCGTGCGCGGCCGGTGCAGGGACGGGACTGGGCGGGGGATGCTGGGCGGGGAGACGGGAGGCGCCGGACCCCCCGGTCTTGTGAAGTGCATCCCCCGAGAGCTTCATCTGCGCCTCCCCCTGCCCGGTGACAGCCCCCCGCGGTAGCAGCTGTGCCTCTCCTCAAACTTCATCGATGCATCCTCCTGGGACTTCCATCTCCCGCGAGCCTCAGCTGTGCCTCCACCTGCAAGGTGCACTCGTACACCCTATGAAAGTTTCATTTGTGTCTCTTACTCTGGTAAAATGCACGTGTGCACCCCCCTTGCGCCAAGCCGCCTTGGAGTTAACATTCCAGTATCCCCCTGCCAGGTGCACGTGTCCCTGTGAGGTGCACCCATGCGCCCTCCCTACAAACTTCGTCCCTGCATCTCCCGGCAGATGCACCCGCCCGTCAGGGAGTGCGGCTGTGTCGCTGGCATTCTGCGGGATTTGCTGCCCTGGAGCTCATGGGGTGCACTTTGGTCCTCGGGAAGATGCAGTGACTGGATCTTTGCTTCAAGCTAAAGCTTGATTTTACTGTGGTGATTTCATTGTGGTTTCATTGCTTCACTTTTCTATTAAAAATTTTTCGGGAGTATGAGGGAGGGGAAAAGAGGAAGGATTAGCTAAGGACTTGGAAACCCTCCCACCCAGCGGAGCAGTGCCAGCACCCCACAGGCTTGTGCTGCATCAGGCGTCCCTGGTGAGAATCTGCTCCTCTGGTAGCTGTGGGACCTGCTCGTGGCCAGGCACTGCAGCGCTGCCAGCCTGCTGGAGCGCCGGCAGTTCCCATTCCTAATGGGCATCATCTGCAATTGCAGCCAGAGCAGCCCCCAGCTCCCAAAGCCTGTGACTGTACTGGAAATCAAAATGTAGGATTATAAAAGTCACGGTGCAGGTACAGTAGTGGATGAGTTGGCTAAAAGAGGGTCTCCTGCTCGAGACTGGAGCCTCCCATGGGAATCAGATCACCCCACTTAGGAGAGGCGAGGCATGCAGCATCCCTGCATCCCCCCATCACATCTCATCAAGGAAGGAGCAGTTGGACTCCTGCACTTGGGAGGTACCTGGCAGCCCCAAATTCACCAACACAAAGAGTCTGTGCATGGGGGGGAAAAATTTAAAAGATTGGGGCAGTGTTTGCCTTTGAATTCTGAAAGCTTTGGGCCAAAGAGAGGAGGTTGCTGTTTCAAAAATATAATTAAGATAATGCTTAGATTCCATATGCCTGGGTTAAACAGGCATTTATTTTTGTTTCATCCTTTCTAGTCAGATGCATTCCTTATTTATAAAATTACTACAGTAATAAAAACAACCCATTCCTTCAAAAAAAACCCAACAAAAAACCAACCTGCTGCAGTTATGTAACAGCCAAGGGAGTTCCCAATTCCGGTCCCAAACTATGGACCTGAGTGTTTGCAAATGAGTTATCTTTAGAAAGGCACTAAATACTTGTTTATGCTGCCACATTTGAGCATCTAATGAGCAGTAATTAATATCTCCTATTCCCCTGAGATAAGAGGGTATCATCACTCTTGGCCACAGTGAGGGAACTGAGGCACAGAGGGACTCAGTAATTTATGCACCATCATGCAGTGACTCAGAGAAGACACAAAGCACCAGACCAAATTTCCCAAGTCCTTCCTCACTGTCTGAATGCCAAACTTTGCCTTTCTTGTTTCAAAGCCAAGATTTCGTCTTCCTCTGTAAATGGGGGTGAAGGGCAGGTTCTGAGGGTGCTGCACAATGGGCAGAAGGGAAGGAGAAGGAGCTGGAAGCTGTGACTGACCAAAGCAAATGTCAGTGAAAATTAAGGGCCTCTCTGAAATCAATTGCAAAAGCCAGTCAGGTTCGCAGACGGCAGATTTGGGTCCCTGGAATGAAAAGGATATTGTTAAGAGCAGCTTGCTGGCAAGGCAACTGCTCTGCCGGGAGCTTTTGGTCTTCAAGAACACAGTTGTCATCCCAAGTCACTGAGGATTTTACTCTTGGGTTTACTTCTGCTCCTCCAGGACTTGAGGGTAAATCTCCCACATGCCATGACCGACTGCTGAACCTCACGGATAGAACTAATTTAATTAAGATGGACAGTTTAAAGTTTGAATGTCGTGCCAGTGCTCTCAGCAGCTCTTGCTCCTCAGTGTAAAACAGGAGATTGTAGAGATGTTTGATCCATTGGTATGTTCGGGAAAAAAAAACTGGGATAATGAGGGCAGGCTCTGTGGCTCTGGGGGCTGAGGATGTTTGAGTATTTCGGTAAGAAACATGCTTTGCCTTCAGCAGGTCTGCTTTAGCCTGACTTTGCTTTGGATTAGCACATCAAACCAGAAAGCCTTGGAAATGACATTATTTATCCTTCCCAAAATGGCAGGTCTTGTCTTGGGTCAGGGGGAGTCACTCCGTTTCACAAGTTGTAGGAAGGATCCAGCAAAGGTACAACAGAATTGCCTCTTCCCCTGCTGACAAGCTCACACCCTGCTCTCCCTCTGAAATTTGAGGTTTCTGTCCAGCCCTGGGCTTTGCATGACTTGAAACATCTTCCGACTAGATTTTACTGTAACTCGTGAAGCAATGAGATCTGTGTGATAGCAAATGAATCAAACAATTCAGGAAGAGCAGTTGCTGGCGCAGAGCATCTATCCTTAAGGAGTGGGGAGCACCAAGGCAGGTCCCCTGCAAGCCTCTGTGACCCACTGCTCAGTATCTGCTGGACAAGGAGAGGTCCTGCTGGCTCTTTTTTCTGCAAGAGCTACAAGCTGCCACAATCCTTTGCTCATCAAGGGCTGTATCTATCAACCTCAGAAATTAACTGGTTGACAGCAAAAGCTGCCCCAGGTTATATTAATGCAGTGATTTCAGAACAGTTCATCCCAGCAGGATGAGTCTGTCAGGGATGGCTCCCACCCTGTCCTTTGCAATGTCTCTATCAGTGAGGGAGGGAGGAAGGTATCCAGGGTTAAAGACTTTTTTCTCAACTTGCCTCCAGGTTCTCATCCAACCTGGACCTTGGTCATTTCAACTGTTTTTTCCACCCTTGACCCAAGATGCCCAGAGCAGGCTGAGCACCTCCAGCACCACTCTTTGTGACCACTGTTTGGTCACAGCAACCTCCCACCTCCCATTTTGCTGGACTGGGAAGAAAGTAAAAGCCTCTTTGTTGACTGCAGATGTGCATATGAATGTGAGGCATTTGCCTAATAAATATCTTCCCAAAGGGGGATTAATTAGCATCCCAAGATTTGCTCTCACTTTGCTCCCTCTGACTGCAGTAGCTCTGCAACACCTTCTCTTAGGGACGCTGTTTTCCCCCTGAAAGCGTGTTGCTGGCCACTTTCCTGATGCACAGACCCCCAGGGCTGAGGATTCATGAATCTTCTGCTCAGGAACCGACACTGGCAGCGGCCCCTGTGCCGTTAGAGCGGTGTTGCAGTAACCACACACACATCCTGGTTTCTGCAGTCCTGCCGTGTGCCGTGAGCCATCACAGCAGGGATGAAGGCTCTCTCCTTCCCTGCCTGTCTGGGTGCCGTGAATAAGTCACTATGAAACCTAACATGCCAAATTATTTCCAACTGGTAAAAATCCATGAATTGGTAACCAGGGCCGGAGGTGGGATCTGTTGTCACACACAGATCTCTGCTGGCGTTGGAGCTGGCTGACCTCTGCTTTGGGCACAGCAAAGGGGGAAAACAGGCCTCTTTGGAGTTACAGAACATGGACCTCTCAAATAGATCGAATGAATCATGCGCTAAAAGCTGAAAGTTGGGTTTGTGTGTAAAGGGAGTTCAGGGTGACTAGTTCGGCTGTGGAAGTCTCCCCAGGGGATATATGAAGATTAATCTCTTCCTACAACTTTTTTGGGGTTGAAAGAATTTTGTGGGTTGTGAATTAAATACAAATGTTTCCCAAACAGTGTGCACGCCCACGGCTTGCTTTATCCTCTGCCGAATGGGGATTTTGGAACTTGCATGTATGTTTAATGTACAATAACATCTATGTTGAAGAAACCCCACTCTAGATCAAAGC